GGACGTCAATAGAATGGCGGCTTTCAAAAAACAGCGATTATTGGATTGAATTGATCATCCGAAGTGGTGTTTGCATGTATTCTATTAAAAGCACCGTTAAAGACGAGGCTAGTATTTCTTGATAATTTCGTCAACTTTCTTATCCTTGTTTATATTCACTTGATTCTGTTTAGTCTGAATTGAGGCAGCATTTATTTTGAGTCAAGAGGTGCAAGAAAGCGTGGAGTGATTATGGTAGAATTCAGTGAGGACGTAAAGACTGTGCCGTGGTCTTAGGGCGAAAAGCGTTAAATAATTCGTAAAATTCTTGCTCAATAGAGATGAACCCGTTGCAAGATTATGAGTTATTATGAGTCAGTAGAAAACTAAATATTCTATATACCACAGTCGCTCTTCCTCTCTTTCTTATTATTACAATAATAAAAATATCAACTCCCTTCTTTTCTACCAAATTACACCAACAACAAATCCCCAACCCGGGAACTTCCAGCTCTCAATTGTTATTCTATTCTGCTTCACTTATTGTAATATTCAGTCTGATTCTAACTCTTTCTGTGCCTTTGTTTAGATCGGTGCTACTATCTAAAGCTTATGGAACTCATGCTTTTCAAAAAGTACTCTCACATCTCCTTTTTTGGAATGAGAACGAGGAATATGTACCACTATCTCATATTCAACTATTAAGCGGTAATAATGCCTAACTCTTGTCAAATGCGTATGCACTACTATTGTTCAATCATCAGTTGATAGAAGATTTTGAACGATGGTTAGATGTGCGTTAAAATTAGTGAAGTTTAAAGTTCTTTCAAAAAACAACTCTCGTTAATTAAAAAAAGGAGAATTGTAAGTTCTTCTTATTGCGTTGATATCACCACAAAGGGTAGGAGCTACTTCTTAAGGTAAACAACGACGAATATAATGTACCGTAAGTATGGTAAAATTTTGAAAATTTGGACGTACCACAATTAGACTGGTCGCGAATACGACCAATCACTGACTTGCACTCTGGCCACTTCT